CCCTCTGGGACCCCACCCAGGCCCCAGCCTCCTTACCTGCCCATGGGGTGAGGGCTCCCCTGCTTGCCGCCAAGCTGGTTACCATTCTGCTGCCCCCTCTCCCTGCCCAGGCCCCAAGTGCCCAGAGCACCCTTAGCTGGGGTCCCCACACACTGCCCGTTTGTAGACAGCTTACGGCCCGAGCCCCTTCCTAGGCCTGCGGCGGCCACGGCTGCCCACAGAGCCTCTCCCATCTGGTCTCCGGCCCTGACTTCCCACGGGTGCCTGGTGCGTCACCCCCCCATCTCCAGGACACATCCTGGGGGGGCGGTTAGAGGCACAGAGGGGGGTCTGTGGGCAAGAGCTCAGGGTGCGGGTGGACAGAGAACCTCCCAAGAAAAAGAAAAGGGGAGCAGGGACTGTCAGAAGCCAATAGAAATAGAGGGGAAAGGGGGATCGGTCGGAGGTGGAGAGAGAGAGAGAGAGAGAGAGAAGACAGTGAGTGGGTGGAAAGCCAGAATGAGGGGGAGTGATAAGAAATGCGTGGCAGGGAGAAGAGAAGCAGAGGAGCAGAGAGGAGAGCAGGGGTGAGAGGGAGATGTGGAGAGAGGCAGGGATGGAGAGCGGGGAAGGAGGAAGGAGAAGGAGGGGGAGGCAGGCAGAGTGACAGAGAGGGATTGTGCTACAGATGGTGACATGGAGAGCCAGGGAAGGAGGGAGCAGGAGTGTGGGGGGGGGTGTGGGAGGGGCCGGAGAGCAGGTGCAGGGAGGGGGGAGGGGTGGCAGGTTAGGGAAGGAGGCAGGGGGGCAGGGGGAGGCAGACCCCGTTACCGCGGAGATCTGCGCGGAGATTTGGCCACCCACGCTGGCCTTGGCTCGTGCAAGGCGGGGGGCAGCGCCGTGCTCAGGGGAGCCAGACGCCCCCCGGACCCCCGTGGCACATGTCCCCCAGGGCGACAGCTGGGTCCCGAGGCCAGGCAGGTGAGGCATTGGGCAGTGCCAGGAGGGCTGGGAGCATGGACGAGCACTGGGCTGGGAGTCCACGGTCCTGGCCACCAGCTGGACACCAAGCAGAGGAAGGCCAGCTGGGGGCAGCAGTCCTGACTGAGCCCGGAGAGCCCAGGACAGGGTGGGGGGGGGGTGGGAGGACGGGGTAAAGAATACATAATTCAGGTTTTGCGGGTCAAGGGCAGAATCAAAGATATTATACGGGAGAAAACAAACGTCCACTGTTTATAAATTGACACAATTCAAAATATAATAATAACTGAGGACAACGTTTTATAACCCAGTCTGCTACTACTGAGAAGAGTGGAATTCTCTGGGCAGGGGTGAGGGGTGGGGGGGCATTGTGCTTAATTGGAGTTCAAGTTAGTATTTCCTATCCTCAAATCCGTTGCAAATGCTCATCTGTAAAATCCATTCTGAGTTGGCAGCCTGGACAAAAGCAGGTGGTGGCCTGGCTTTGCCAGCCTATGGTCTAAGGTGCTCTGCCGGGGGCCTGAGACTCCCCTGGCTGCCCCTGGATGTGCACCCCAGCTCCTGATGACCGACCTTGTGACCACAGGTGAGTCGACCCTCCTCTGGGCCTGATTCCTCATCTGGATAGTCAGGAGGTTGGACTGGATCATTCCTAAGCTCCTCTTTCTATGTGACCATTATAATTGCCTGGGGCTCGATTAGCAATGGCCCCTTGGTATTAAGCCCCGCCCCCTGCTTCACAGAGAGGGAAAGCAGTTTACTCAGATCACACAGCCAGCCAGTGCAGAAGGGACGGCCCCCCGGTAACAGCGTGCCGCTAAGCACCTTCCCCGCGGAGCGGCCTTGCCCCTGCTCAGAGGGCGAGGCGGGACCAGTCAGAGAAAGGAGGAAGGAAGGCAGTGTGTCTTGGTTGAGCACCTGCAGCGTGCCAGGCACCATCCAGGCCCCTTCCCATCGTGGGCCGTTTCTCAGGGCCGGGGCTGGGCCTGCTTTGTCACTAGGCACCCAGGGCTGGGGTGGAGTAGGTCCTCAGAGAGCCCGGCATCAGATTCTTCCAGAAGAGCCATTCTGGCTACCACAGAACACAGTAGGACTAGGAACACACCCGCTTCCAGAGGCTTCTGGACGCCCCGTTGCTTGACACGGTCCTTCCACTTGCCAGGGATTCCCAGTGTTCTGTCCGTCCGCCCGTCGGCGCAAGTTCCTGAAGAGTAGGCGGGGTCCAGGCAGCTCCTGGGAGTGAGGAAGGGGTTTCCATGGCCCTGTCCCTCCCCTGCCTGAGGGCCCCTCAGAATTAGGCCCACCCCGAGCAGCCCTCCAGGCTTTATATCCCACTCACCTTGCCTCATCCTGCTCGGCTCATTGCCTTCTTCCGCGAGCTCCAGGCATACCCAGCCTCACCCATTCATTCATTCACTGCCTCTAGAGGGGCGGCTCAGGCCTCTGAGACAGTGAGAGGCACAAGCAGTATCTAAGGAGGAGGGCCCAGGCGGAGAGCAGGGTGGCTGGAGGGGCGGGAGGCAGGGGAGGCCTCGGGAGGCCACACCATGAGGGCCCTATCTCAGGCTGGGTGGGTCGGGAGCTTCACAGGCGGGAGCAGAGGAGTTTCTTGACCTAATTTCTGTTCTTCAAGGGCTCACCAGTCAGGCACTGGGGACAGTGTTGGTTCTTGGCAGGGCCTTTGCACAGGCTGTGCCCCAGCCCTGGTCACTCCCCTCACGCACCCCGCCCCACCCCTATGTGTGAGCTGAAGTCCTCCTTCAGGTGGTCTCCTCCTGGAGCCTTCCCTGTCCCAGATGAGCTAGGCCTCCCCAGAGCCCCCAGCCTCACCATGTCCCCAGGCCTGGCACCAGCCTAGCACAAGTGTTGTGTCTATGGGAGAGAAGATGGGTGGAGGGCGAGCAGCAGGGTGACAGAGGAGGGGAGACTAATCTGCTGAATGTCTGCTGGAGGCCGAGGGGTGGTAAGGGGTCCCCGGCACCAGGCTGGGAGCAGGTGTGGCCTGAGTCAAACACCCACTGCCACCCAGGGGCCTTCCCCGAGCGGAAGTAACCCAGGGATCCCTGATCAGCCTCTCCTTCTGGGGGTGGCAGGGCAGAAAGAGGAAGTGCAACTCCATCCCTGTGAGCCCTGGGAGGCTGGGGCTGCTGGGTGTCGGAGCCGGGAGGTGGCCCCACCTTGCTTGGCATGGAGGTCCTGGAGCATGAGAACCTCTGACCTCAGGCCTGGCACTCGGCGCTGTCACGTGTGCCTGGTACCCTGGAGGGGCTGCCTGGACTGCCTCTCAAAACTAGGACAGTGCTATGTCTGCCCCATCAGTCCCTGACCTCGCCCAAACTAGGGCCATGTCTCCACCCTCAGACTAGAGGGCTTCCTGCAACCAGGGACTGTGTCTCTGCCATCAGGCAGGCAGTTTTCCAGAAGCTGGGGCCCAGGCTCCTCCCACTCCTGAGAGCCCAGACAATGCTGTCTCCCACCCCCCCCCCAGTGCCTAGGCCAGAACCAACCACAGTGTAGGCTGGGGGCCTGAGCCACTGATGCTGAGGTCTCTCCTTCAAGTGAGACAAGGCGAGCCAAAATACCTTCCCGGCCCAGCCCCTGGGCCTCTGCCACAGGAGTCCCCATTAAAGGTGTCCTCGGGTTCATCGGCCCCGCTGTTCCCTGCTAGGGTCGAATCTCAGCTTCTCCACTCACTGGCTGTGTGACCTCGGATATGTGACTTAGCCTCTCTGAGCCTCTGACCCTCAGCTTCAACACCTGCTGCACAGGGGTGGTGAGACTAGATTTAGTTAATCCCAGGGACACTGAGAAGCTACACGCAGCATGAGCCCCCAGCCCTACCCCCGGCCTCCTCTGTGGCGGGGGAGGGGCCAGCAGCCCGCACAGCTGAGTCTCAGCCCCTCCCTGGCCCAGTCAAGCAGGGTGACTTTGTGAAACCCCTCCGCTAACTTCCTCCTTCGCTCGAATGTGTCCACCTTCCTGTCTGGCCCCAGGTTCTTATGATGGTCAAACGGAGGAAATGGCTGTGAGCTTGCAGCCCCCAGCACCACGCTTCATTGCTTGTACCTCAGACTCTCTGCTTTCTGACCTGCTCACCGCTCTCCATCCCCTGAGCCTCCCTTCTGGGCCAAGCCACCATCGCCTCATCCGTCCCCGTCCTTCTGCCCTCGCCCCGCCCCCTCCGCGGGGAGAGTGAGTCCTTTAAAAAACAAGTCATGCCACTTGCTTCCTCATTGGGACCCTCTAGGGCCACCTGTTGCTGTAGAATGACATCCACTATCCTTACCGTGGCCTGAGGAGTCCGTGTAACCTGCCTCTGCCTGCTTCCTTCCCACTCGCCCCTTCCTCTCTTTCTACAGCACCGTCGCCTTCAGTCTGAGCCCCGCGTGCCCCAGGCCCTTTGCACAGGCTTTTCCTTGTCGCTCTCTTAATCCCTCGGCAGGTGTAGGCACCAGCTGCTCTGAAGCCTTCCCATTCTCTGACGCTCCCTCTTGTGACTTCTTTTTTAATCTGTAAAGCAATTATTTTTTATTTGGTTTTATTTTTAGCAAAGTACTGTTTGCAACTAAATTTTAAAAACCAAAGTGGTAAAAAGACTTACAAGAGCAGAAAACAGCAGTCCTCCCATGGCCCTGACCCACCCCTGATCCCAGAAGCAATTCCACCCTCTCAGCTCTTTTCTCCTTGTATTTTCTCCATCTTGCCAAATACCAGATTTATTTTTCTGTCTCTTGATCCCCCAATTTTGTCCATTATCTACTGACTTCCTGTTATGGAAGACGAGGATTGTAGATTTCTTACACACTCTGGTCCTTCCTCTCCACCCTCTCCATGCGACAACATTTTCAGTTAAGTGTATGTTCAGTGTTTTCATTAGGAACACACTGCAAAATATTCTCTCTTGCCCAGCCCGGAGTCCATAATTGTTTCACTTTTTTCATTTACTTAGTTGCTTTTTTTTTTTTTTTACTATCTCAGTTTTCTAGGACTCCATATTTGCACACACTCCTACTGCTGTGTCAAAACCTCGCAGGGGAGGGGTACTCGGGATCCGACAGCCGGTGGGTCCAGGCCATGGGGCAGCCCTGGGCAGTGGGGAGCGCGGAGTGGGCGCCCGCGCGGCTGCCTCTCGTGCTCACTGCGCTGTGGGCCGCGGCTGTGGGCCTGGAGCTGGCCTATGTGCTGGTTCTAGGTCCCGGGCCGCCCCCGCTAGGACCCCTGGCTCGGGCCTTGCACCTAGTGCTGGCCGCCTTCCAGCTGCTCAACCTGCTGGGCAACGTGGGGCTCTTCCTGCGCTCGGACCCCAGCATCCGGGGCGTGATGCTGGCCGGCCGCGGTCTGGGCCAGGGCTGGGCTTACTGCTACCAGTGCCAAAGCCAGGTGCCACCCCGCAGTGGGCATTGCTCCTCCTGCCGCGTCTGCATCCTTCGCCGGGATCACCACTGCCGCCTTCTGGGCCGCTGTGTGGGGTTCCGCAACTACCGGCCCTTCCTGTGCCTGCTGCTTCATGCTGCAGGCGTCCTGCTGCTTCATGCTGCAGGCGTCCTGCTGCATGTCTCTGTGCTGCTGGGCCCTGCCCTGTCAGCCCTCCTGCGAGCCCACGCGCCCCTCCACACCGCCGCCCTCCTCCTGCTGCCCTGGCTCATGCTGCTCACAGGCAGAGTGTCTCTGGCTCAGTTTGCCCTGGCCTTTGTGACCGACACGTGTGTGGCAGGTGCACTGTTGTGCGGGGCTGGGCTGCTCTTGCATGGGATGCTGCTGCTGAGGGGCCAGACCACATGGGAGTGGGCTCGGGGCCAGCACTCTTATGACCTGGGCCCTTGCCACAGCTTGCAGGCGGCCCTGGGGCCCCGCTGGGTCCTCGTCTGGCTCTGGCCCTTCCTGGCCTCCCCATTGCCTGGGGATGGGATCACCTTCCAGACTGCAGTTGATGTGGGCCTCGTGGCTTCCTAACTCCAGGAGGAGCCGGAGCTGTTCAGGGAGAGGGTAGCAGGAAGGGGGGCTCCTAACTCCTTTCGGGCCCATCCCCAGCCTCCCGTCCCATCCTTGGCCTTGCCCCTGCCCAGCCTGGACTCCAGTGTCCAGGGCTTGGGTCCTGCAGCTCTGCCTCTATTGGCCCCCCGAGTAGAGTGGACAGTTGGTAAGGGGCTGCTTGGCCAGCCTAGTCACCCCTTTGCCGGGTTAATAAAGTACCCACTTGGTAAAAAAAAAAAAAAAAAAAAAAAAAAAAACCTCGCAGGGGAGTCTCCAGGGTCTGAGCTCTGTGCAGATTTCTGCTTGGAGGCATCTAAACTCCTCTCTGCTGTCCTGGCTAATCTCTGTGCCTGTGTGCGGCCGCTCCCCTGAGAGTGTCTCTTCACCATTCTGCCAGCGGTTCCCTTCAGCTTTTTCCTGTGTTAGATCCCATGTCTTGAATCTTCCTCCTTAACGGTTTGCTCCCTGATCTTGTGGGCTCACATCCTCCAGTAATTTCCTGAGCAAAGTGCACGTGTTTGAAAATTGTTCATTCTCCTCACACGTCAACTGATAGCTGGGCTGGGTTGAGAATTCTAGGTTGAGAATTACTTTGATTCAGATGGCGGAAGGCATCTGTCCATCTGTCTAGCTCCCAATACTATTCTTTTTTTAATTTTAATTTTAATTTTTTAAAAATTTTATTTAAAATTTTAATTTTTAAAATGTTTATTTAAATTTTACTTAGTTAACATGCAGTGCAATATTGGTTTCGGGAGTAGGATTCAGTGATTTATCACTTACGTACAATACCCAGTGCTCATCACAACAAGTGTCCTCTTTAATACACTTCACCATCTATTCCATCCCCCCCCCACCCACCTCCCTCCATCAAACCTCAGTTTGTTCTCTATTGTAAGAGTCTCTAATGGTTTATTTTCCTCTGTCCCTTCCCTCCCACCCCTTCCCATATGTTCATCTGTTTCTTTCTGAAATTCCACATATGAGTGAGATCATATGGTATTTGTCTTTCTCTGACCAACTTATTTCACTTAGCATACACTCTAGCTCCATTCACATCATTTCAAATGGCAAGATTTCATTCTTTTTTGATGGCTGAGTAATATTCCATTTATTACCTCTTCTTTATCCATTCGTCAGTCACTGGAGATTTGGACTCTCTCCATAGTTTGGCTTCCCAGTACTATTCTTATTCTCGATCCATTGTGTGTAACCTTAGGTGTTTTCCCTTTATTCTGGAAGCTTCTAGGATCTTTGCTTTATCCCTAAATTTCTGCAATTTTGTAATGCTTGCATTGTGCCCTCTCTACCAACCCCCCTCCCCATCTGGTCCCAGCACCAAGTGTTTTGGGGGCACTTGGTGAACTGTTTCAATCTGAAGATTTGTGTTCTTCAGTTCTGGACAAGATTTTTTTCTTTCTTTTGTTAGAGATTTTATTTACTTATTTATGGTGGGGGGAGAAGCAGAGGGAGATGGACAAGCAGACTCCTAGCTAAGCGCAGAGCCCAACGTGGGGCTCAATCCCACGAACCCAAGATCATGACCCAAGCCAAAATCAAGAGTCAGACGCTCAGCCGACTGAGCCACCTAGGCGCCCCTGGACAAGATATTTCAATTATTTTCTTTTGGAACTCCTATTATTTGACTATCGGCCTCCTGGATTAACCCTGTAATTTTCTTGTTGTTTACTTTTACCATCTTATTCTCCCTTCTAGGAGTTGTTTTTGTTGTTGTTGCTCACTCTGTTTTATCTTCCAAACCTTCTATATAAAAAAAATTTAATAAACACTTTTCTAATTTTTCTAATTTCTAAGAGCTCTTCTCTGTTTTCTGACTGTTCCCTTGTTATGGCCTTCTGTATTTATTTGTGGGTGTAATATGTTTCCTTCTCTCCAAGGATAGCAGTGATGGTTTCTTTTAAGTTTTCTCCGGCTCACTGCCTTGTCTTTATTTCTTGCTAGTTCCTTTTTCTCTGTTTATTTGATTGGGTCCCTTTCATGATAGAGCTTTCCTCAATTGTCCATTCATCTTTCGTTACCTATTCATTTTTCAGAATGAAAGATTAAAACTCGGATTGGCAGCTCCGTGTTAAAAGGCAGAGTTTGCAAGATAGCAAACATCTCTGGAGGGACAGCTGGATCTTTTGTCAAAGATGCCTAGATGTTACCAAATGTCAGCATCAGTAGGACTTTTCTCCGGGGTGGTCAGATCCTGGCCACAGATTCCTGTCTGGGATAAGTGTCTGCCTGGGTGCTAGCATTCCTGAAGTCAGCCAGGGTCTGAGGGTCACCCTGCTGAGTATACAGACTTCCACTGAATCCCCCTGCATCAGTCAGCTATTGCTATGTAACAAACAACCACACAAACAATAAGCATTTCTTGTACTTCACACCTTCAGTTCAGCTGGAATGGGTTGATCTAGGCTGAGCTAAGCTAGGCAGATCTGCTTTGAGCTGCAGGTCAGCTGGACACCTCTGCCCTTATGTTCTTGGAACCGGTGGGCTTACCAGGGGATGTTCTTTCATCAGCATAAGAGAGCATGCCCAAGGGTGAAAGCACATCAGGCTCACCTTATGATGCATATGCTAACATCCCACTGGCAAACAGCAAGTCACAAGGTCAAAGCTAGCATCAGTGGAATGGGGAAGTAGGTCCACCCCTGGAGGTGGGTGTCAAAGGAGTGATAATCTGCCAAGCATGATCAAACCCACTATATTCCAAATAATCAGTCTGGGTCCTCACCCCCACCTGCCCTGTAGCTGGTGTCCTTGGGTCCAGAAATCTCTGGTTGGATTTTCCTGCCCAGGCTAGGGAGGGATGGTTGCCTGGCTGCATAGTGCACAGGGGAGGCCCTGGGGGTCTGATCGCTCCTTAAACAAACTTACAAATAACCCACTGGGTTTCAGCCTCCTGCCTTGCCATCTGTGGTGTCTGGATCCCCTACTTCGGAGCCTCCTGGGGGTTCTGCAAGGTCAGTCGGTTTGCATCTCTCCCACCTCCAAACCCCCCACCCCGCCCCACCACAGAACAGCAGGCACTGAGGTTTGCCTTCCCTGGGCTCTGTTAAATCATTTACCACCCCTCCATCTGCTCTCCAGACTCGTATGCTGTGGTTTGGGGTCACAGGTGTCTCCTGGTTTCTTTGAAGATGAGAGTTTGTGTTTCTGTTTTGTGTTCTCCTTATTGTCATGGCTGCTTTTCAGCAAGGGAGAGGGGGCAGAAACATCTCTACCCTGGCACCTTGAGACCAGGATCTCTTCCTTGCTCTATTGCATACACTTCTGTGGTATGTGGATCAGCCGCATGGCAGGTATTGATTTGCTCATCTGTCTGTCTCATTAGCCCCTGAGCCCCCGGGGAGCAGAGAGCTGGATCTCACCATCTCTGCACCTCCAGCTCCCACACAGCTTGGCATGGAGCCTGGGGTTAGTACACGGGAACTGAAGTGAACTGAACTTCGAATTACATGGATGACTGCTCATCATTTCACCTACCTTAGGGCCTTCAGAAGTCTTCAAGAACCATCCTAGATTCCTGTCTCCCTCCCCAGAGCCTACCCTGCTTGCCTCTTACATCTCATGAGACCCGGATGGAGTCAGATGTCCCCAGAGGTGACTACTTCTCTGCTGGTGGGGGAGTTAAGAGGGTAGGGAAGAGAGGGAAAAGATCAAAGGAAGAGATAACAGGGACCTCAACCCCACAGAAGTCACTGTTTCAGTATACCATGGTATTATTTCTCATGATTTGACGAGTTGGCTGAGCTCGGTTGGATGCTTTTCTGCCACACATGATTTTGGCTGGGGCCACTGTCATCCGGGGACTTGACTGGGCTGGCACATCCAAGAATTCCGATGCGCATGACAGGTGCCTTAGCAAGGATGACTGGAAGGCTGGGCTCAGCTGGGTCACTGGAAAGGCTGGGTCTCTCTCTCCATTGAAGTCTATTCTTCCATCTATGAAGTCTATTATTCCTTTACATAAATGACACACATTTACCCAGCATCTGCAAGGTGCCAGATACTTGCGAGGGTCATGGTGAGCCATCCAAGCAGAGGGGCCATTTCTCAGGGCTCTCCACTGAGTCCCCCCAGAGCTGCAAGCTCCTAGGAGTGGGCCCACACTCGACTCACCCTCAAACCCTGTGTTTGGTGCACAGTCCCAATAACGATTTGCTAAATGAGTAGGTGACTGAATGAATCCGTGGCCGTACAAGCATGTGTTAAGGCAAGAGGTGTACATCGTGACATCTGAGTGGCACAGTTGTTTGTAAATGAGGAGGAGCCCCCGAGCTGCCCCGTGGAGACAGCGGATGCAGGGAGGGCCAGCGAGGTGGTCACGACTACCGTCCAGGGAAGAAATGCAAGGCCTGGAGCAGGGAGTGGCAGTGGGTCCAGATAAAGGGGTGGGTTTAACACACAACGAGAGGCCAGATTTTCTAGGTTTGGTGACCAGTGGATGCAGGGCAGGGGGAATGGGAGGTGCCAGGGGGCCCCCCAGGCCTCTGCTTTGGAGGAAGGAGCAAGGAGCAGCCAGGCTCTGAGACCGAAAGCCCCAAATGAAGTAGCTCAGCTGGCAGGTGCTTTCCTGGCCCACCAGGCAGTGCTGTCATCGCAAGTCGCCCAGCCTGATGCCCTGCTGCCTAGCGCAGGCCTGGCACCACTAGGTGGGTGTTCGGAGGTGGTTGGTGTCGGAGTGAAGCATCACCAAGTTGTCAGCTTCTGCTGCAACCAACAGTTCTTCCTGTTTCAAAACCAGCTCCTCACCTACTCTGCTTGAGGTTTCTCTTTCCTATCTAAAGGGCCTCTGGTGCTCAGCCACTTCGCAGAACAGAAATGAGTGACTCACCCCATGTCCAGTGACCGCTGGATGCAATGATACAGTGGAAAGAGCACGGGGCTAAGCAACCTAAGACCTCAGTTACAAATGCTGTCAGCTAATGGTAACAGAGGCCTGACTGACAGTGGCATACACTTTGGGT